CCTAACCCAAAGGTCGATGGCGACTCTATTCAAGTTAATCCAAATTAATCCAAATCACCCATTTTTTCCAAATTAAAGTCATAATTGTTTTTAAAAATAATATTTAATTGTTTTACAAAAAAATGGTTATGACAGTTAACGTATATGTGCCCATCCTGAAAAATATTTCTGGATCTGCCACCGTCTCAGTGGCACTACACCAAAAATGGTTTTTTGTGGCATTTTTTTGACCTATAGCGGCGTTTTCTAGCGCTGCTAAAAACATTTGTGACGATATTACAAACGCCGCAAAATGCACCGCTGAAAATAGCGTCGCTAAAGTCCGCGGCATTTGGGGTCAAAAACGCCGTAATATGTAACGATATATAGCGGCGTCTTTACAAAAAATGCCGCAATAGATGTTGATGTTTAGTGGTGTTTTTCCCACAAACGTCGCAATAGGTATTAAGATTTATAGGCATTTTTTAACAAACGACGCAATAAATTTTGATATTTAGCGGCATTTTCAATAGAAATGCCGTAATAGTTGTCGATATTTAGTGGCGTTTTCAATAAAAACGCCACAATAGGTGTTAATATTTAACAACGTTTTTCACACAAACGCCGCAATAGGTATGTTCTTTAACGGCATTTATTCACACAAACGACGCAATAGTTATGTTCTTTAACGGCGTTTTTACCACAAACGCCGTAAAATGCTTATGTATATAGCGGCGTTTATGGATACAAACGCCGCTAAATATATAGTATATAGCGGCATTTTTTGTTACAAACGCTGCTAAAGAAGACATAATTTAAACAAATTAAAAAATTATTGTTATTCATAGAGGTTATGAGTTTGAACACTAGTGATTGCAGCAAGGTGATTGAATATTTATTGTCAAATATTTAAGAGTATCTATAACAAATATTAATTTGCAATCGTCTTATCTTAATAAAAAAATATAAAAATAAATATCTTAACTAAATTCTTAAAGACACGTTATGATCGATTAAATTCATTTGTAGGAAAAAAACTTCCTACTATATATACCCATAGTTATCCATAACAATAAAAACAAAATCATAACCTATTCCTTAGAATAACATTTAATAATTTTATGTAAAAAAAAGTTTAATAATTTATTGTTATAATTTGGGACTCCTCTTTAATAATGATTTTATGTCAAAATCATACCTATTACTTAATGAAATAAAAACTTAATGTTAGGTATGCTTAAAAAAATAAAAGTTTAAGTACTAAAACGAATCAAAATTGATAGTTTAAGTATTAAATGTGTAGTTTACCCTAAAAAATTATTGTACAACTTACTTCAATAAGTAATTTTAGTTGTAAAATGAAATATTGTTCTCTTTGAAGATCTTGAGTTCAAGCAGTTATCAATATGTTAAGAAAATTATAAATATATGCTAAATTATAATTATCCGGGAATATTCAAAGAAAATTATTGTATAACTCATTTGAAATGACCATCCAGCTCAGTTGGTAGAGCACAAGGTTCTTAACCTTGAGGTCGTGGGATCGAGTTCCATGGAGGGTATTTCATAATTTGGAGGTCTCCTACAGAAGCTGATCTCAACTTAGTGTTGGGGACAACCTACTATCTTACCTCCCCTTACCCCATTACATATGGGAACAAGGGACAACTATTTTTTAATTTGATGAAAAAATAAATTTAAAGAAAATAAAGATCATTAATGAATGCGTAACCATTGTATGATTATAATTTTATTCAATTAGAGTTATTATGTCCGTACAATTAAATATAAGGATGACAACGAGTCAAGATCATATCGAGTTTTTATCAATCTGATATAATTCGAGAAATATACATATTTTACCTGAATTTGAGTTTACGGAGATTCCATTCGACTCAAAGTTTTATTTAAATTTTGAGATAAAACCTGCATCCAATTGACCCAACCCGATGTAAATATATATAAAAAAATTTATTTTTATTTGGCAAAAAGAACTAATTGAAAATAAAGTATAGAAAGAATAATATTATAATAATTATTTATAAATATATAGAAGAAAATTATACTATTATCGCAACTCAGGTTAAATAGAATATTTTTCACTTTCAACCTAAATTCAACCTGATATGACTTCACCTTATACAAAAACCGACTCAATCCAAACCCAAATTTTGAAATCGATCATATCGAATCAAATTAAAATACACCAAATTTGAGTAAAAAAAAGTCATCCTAATTATGTATATAGAGTTGTAAATTTAATATATTCTCGTATAAATTTCTAATGAATAGCTTTGTCTAGGGGCACTGCCCCCTATTTGTATAATTAAAAAAATTAAATAAGTAAATTTTAAATTAAAATTCTTAATTTTAATTTATTTTTATTTTATCAATTTTATTTTTTATCGTTAATTATACTTCATCCTTTTAAGTTAGAATCTTGACTTCGTTCTTATCGACGCTCATATATTCGAGATTTTATCTATATTTTTAATAAAAAAAATTGGTTGCCTCTTTGGTATTCAAAGTTTTGCATTAACTAATTCAGACCGATCTAGATCGCACATCTGATTTTCGTGGATGAGTCTTCTAACGAGAATTTTCTGCATACACAAGGACTCAAACTCCATACTTTTTTAAGCGATATCAAGTTGTTTACCACTTAAACAAATCCGATTAATATATATTTTAAATTTTTATTATATTATTTTAGTAATTTATTCGTAACATTTATTTCAAAGCGTGTGCACGTTAACAATACAAAATTATCATGTTGGGTTTTCAAAATATATTATCGGTTTTAATTATTGCCTTCGCTCCCATAACTTATCGTTTCCCGATATATCACGATAAATTCAGAATCATCAACTTTCACGTGATATTATATGAATGGCAGGCCCCGTAATATTCAGAGAAATCCAGGGTCAGATCCTCAGATTAAAAAAGGCTGTCGTTTTTCTTCGGTAGATCTGAGAATAGTAAAGATCGCTTTCCAGGATATTTTTCCCTATTCCTCACCTTCACCTTAACCTCTATCACGATCCGTCGACTGAAGTCACAAGAAAAATCAAAAATTCATATCGACGGTGTAAGATAAAAAGCCGAATACGATCTGTTACAGAGAATTATTTCTCGAAAGTAGAATAGCTGTCAGCTAGAGATTCCGCACCGATAGACTCGACGAGGTTTAGCCGGCTAAATAGGGGCTATCATTTCACTGTACGTATACATTAGTCATTCTACTTATTACAAGAGCTTATCCATTTTGATAAGCCGATTTGATATGTAAAGTAGCTTATCATCTTCTTTATCTGTCTCCCCTTTCCTATAAAAATCGACATTTCTGCAAGGTTTTAAGGTTGGGTTTTATATAAAAAGGAATACAAATTGTTTTCTAGAGAGAGAAAGGGAATCTCTAGCTACCCTGAGTTTTTTTTCCTTGATTTCTTTTTAAAATTTTGTGAGTTTTTTTTGTTGAAAGTTTTAACCTTGGAAATCTGTTTGTTTTATCTATACATGTCTGAAAATCGATCTCAGATGGTAAGTTTCTAACAAATCTGTTTACCTTTGTTCATGTTTTTTGTGTCTAAAAGAATCTGTTTACCTTTTCTCTTTCTTCTTTTTGCTTTTTCCATGTCTTTTTTTCTTCTTTCTGCTTTGTTTTCCATTCGTTGCAAAATTGCATATTGGATTTCTAAATGGTATAAAGTTGTTGGTTTTTTTAAATGATAAAAACCCTAATTTACCCTCTTCTTCTTCATTATGTTTCGGTCGAAGATGGTTGAACGATCTTTTTAGGTTTTATTTGGGATTTTTTTTATTGTATTTTGAGCTGAATTTATCTTCATTTTCTGATTCTTTCTGGTATTTTTCTTGCAGATCTAGTGTTTGTTTTCAGAGATTTTGAATTTCGTTGAACCGAAGTCTGCCGGATACGATGTCGTCTCTGAGCAGAGAGCTGGTGTTCTTGATCTTACAGTTTCTGGATGAAGAAAAGTTCAAAGAAACTGTTCACAAGTAATATTTTTGTTTTCGTGATGTGCCATTTGAGCTTGATTAGTAGCTGTTGTTAGCTGATAACTCAGTGGCCATTATTTGTTTGGATTTAAACAGGCTCGAACAGGAATCTGGGTTTTTCTTCAATATGAAATATTTTGAGGATGAAGTTCATGGTGGAAATTGGGATGAGGTTGAGAAGTATCTGTCTGGTTTCACCAAGGTCGATGATAATCGATATTCCATGAAAATCTTCTTCGAGATCAGGAAGCAGAAGTATCTCGAGGCATTGGATAAGTAAGCTTTTGCATTCTTCATTTTGTTCTATTAATCATTGGAAGTTTGGGGCTTTGATTTCGAATGTTCAAATTTGATTTAGGCATGACCGGTCAAAGGCCGTGGAGATATTGGTGAAGGATTTGAAAGTTTTTGCCACATTCAATGAGGATCTTTTTAAGGAAATCACTCAGCTCTTGACATTGGAGAATTTCAGGTATGCCGCTTGTGTTTACGAGTTCGCGTCTTGGTAAATAGATTAATGGCAGCAAGGGTACTGAAGAATGCATAACTTTCGTAACAGGGAGAACGAACAGCTGTCCAAGTATGGAGTGGGGAACTCAAGAACGGGTTGTAGTTTCCGATGAACATTTATTTATGCAATGAACTCGCGTGGCATTCATCTCGAGTTCTTACTAGCGTTGTTGTTTTAAATGAAACGGAGTTGTATTAGTTGTGGCCTTTTAGAGAAAACTGATCTCTCTTGCCATTACAGCTTGAATTGGCAGCATCAGCTTTGTAAAAACCCGAGGTCAAACCCAGATATAAAAACTCTATTTGTGGATCACTCATGTGGACAGCCAAATGGTGCCCGAGCACCATCACCTGCAAACAATCCACTTCTTGGATCCTTATCGAAAGCTGGAGGTTTTCCTCCCCTAGGGGCTCATGGGGTGGGTATCCAGCTCGATAGAACCATTCTGAATTCTCTTTCATTATCCTGTTCTTAATGTCCTCGGTTTACGTCTTCAGCCTTTTCAACCTACACCTGCACAAGTTCCGGCACCCCTTGCAGGTTGGATGTCAAATCCTTCAACTGTAACTCATCCGGCTATTTCTGGTGGAGCAATCGGTCTTGGCCCTTCTTCAATACCAGGTAGTTGTTTCTTCCTCTTTATTTATCAATGTTTTCAATATTTTCTTCTGTAATCACTTCCTCTCTAGGTTTGTTTTTAGCAATGACGACATTGTTCCGTCTAGTCCTTTTTCGTTTTAACGGCATGTTTCATTATTGACTTATAGCTGCATTGAAGCATCCAAGGACTCCAACGAATCCATCTGTAGACTACCCATCTGGGGACTCTGATCATGTTGCCAAAAGGACGAGGCCCATGGGGATATCTGACGAAGTACTGCGGTTTTATTTTAATCGACTTATTTGATACGTAATCTGCGTGTGATCTTGTTTCTTTCTGCCTAAGGTTATTTTACTGATCTTTGCTCACTTTGTGCAGGTAAATCTTCCAGTCAATGTGTTGTCGGTACCATTTCAGGGCCATGGTCACAGTCAGGCTTTCAGTGCACCTGATGATCTGCCGAGGGCTGTCGCGAGAATTCTCAACCAGGGTTCATCTCCTATGAGCATGGATTTCCATCCTGTTCAACAGACTCTACTTCTAGGTATGGTATAATGCCTTGTTTTATCATAATTGCTCGTGGTTTTCTGTTTTTGTCCACTGGTGATTCTACTCCACATATTCCGAATTTGATGAATCAGTTGGTACCAACGTTGGAGACATAGCGTTGTGGGAAGTTGGCTCTCGGGAGCGGCTGGTTTCCAAAAGCTTTAAAGTTTGGGATGTTAGTGCCTGTTCAATGACTCTACAGGTTAGTGCCGTCGACTGTTTAACATGCTCATTTGCACTGTTTATTCTGACACGCTAAACAGAATATATGTACTTGAATCCAGGCTGCTCTAGTCAAAGATCCTGCTGTCTCTGTAAACCGTGTAATTTGGAGCCCCGATGGTTCTTTATTTGGTGAGAATAAACCTATGTATATAGTTGTAGTAGTGAAATGGGAACGTTGATTGACATGTCATACTTTTCCAAAAACAGGAGTTGCTTACTCAAGGCACATTGTGCAAATATATTCTTATCATGGAGGCGAGGAGGTTCGACAACATCTCGAGGTATATATTGCAGCTAGTTCCGTTGGGTTGTGTGTGTGTTTTCCCTCTAATCCTCTTGCTGATTTTTGCCTGACCAAAATCATATTTAAAATTCCAATCTAGATTGATGCTCATACTGGTGGTGTAAATGATATTGCGTTCTCTCATCCAAATAAGCAACTTTGTGTAATAACTTGCGGTGATGACAAGACAATTAAGGTTGTTTTTTTCATTTTACTTGGTTGGTTATTAGTTTACAAGAAAAAATTGCTCGTCCTCGCTAATTTCATGTCTTGCTTTAGGTGTGGGATGCTACCAATGGTACAAAACAGTACACCTTTGAAGGCCACGAGGCTCCTGTTTATTCCGTCTGCCCGCACTATAAAGAGAACATTCAGGTAAGGATATTTCTTTATTGCGGTAGGTGTCATGCACTCTTCACTGGACTATGGCCATATGTTATTTGGACTCGAGTGTGGGACATGAGTATGGTCATATGTTTCTGTGTTTTTCGTGTATTTGGAGGATCCTTGGAGACCATATCTCCATATCCTATGTGCGTGTGCTCATATCCATTTGTCTTCATGATGTGCTTACTATCGACTTTTTCTGCCTCAGTTTATCTTTTCAAACTGCTGTAGACGGAAAGATAAAGGCATGGTTGTATGATAATATGGGTTCACGGGTTGACTATGAAGCTCCTGGTCGTTGGTGCACAACCATGGCCTACAGTGCTGATGGTACAAGGTTAGTTTGCTTTCACTATATCTCGTATTCATGTTCTGTTAGTTGTCGAGAATTATCAGGATAGGGTTTTGCTTCAATTTTCTAATGACCTTTCTCGAATTGATGGTTGGTGTTGTAGGCTCTTTTCTTGTGGCACCAGTAAAGAGGGGGAGTCATATATCGTAGAATGGAATGAAAGTGAAGGGGCTGTGAAGCGAACCTATCAAGGGTTCCGCAAACGTTCTTTAGGTGTTGTGCAGTTTGACACAACCAAGAACAGATACTTGGCCGCTGGTGACGATTTCTCGATCAAATTCTGGGATATGGACAGCGTTCAACCTTTGACCAGTTTTGATGCTGAAGGAGGACTTCCGGTAAGTCAATTATGTCCAATTAAGTTTCGTACCATTTCTAAGATGGTAGCAGCTTACATTTTTCTTTCCTAATCGTTAGGCAAGCCCACGCATCCGCTTTAACAAGGATGGCTCTCTCTTGGCTGTTTCTACAAATGATAATGGGCTTAAGATTTTGGCAAATTTAGATGGTATGCGATTGTTGCGCACTTTGGAGAATCTTTCTTATGATTCCTCGAGAACAGCTGAAGCCCCAAAGGTAGTATTATTGTCTCATTTAATTCCTTTAGCACGTTGCTATACCGGTTCTGTATGTTAATTGAATCTTCATCGACAATTTATTGTTTTCGTCAGCCTACAATAAATCCAATCTCGGTCGCTGCCGCAGCTGCTAGTAGTGCTGGACTTGCAGAGAGAAGTGCCTCTGTGACTGCTATTGCTGGAATGGTCTGTTTGATGGTGTTCATTTTGTTGTTATGGTTATGTACTCGTCGTCTGTTGGTTTAGTAGTGGAGCTCGGATGCATGAATTTAAGGTTCGTGTGTTATGTCCTTTTCAGAATGGGGATACCCGGAATGTGGCGGATGTAAAACCCAGAATAACAGAAGAATCCAGCGATAAATCAAAGATTTGGAAGCTCACTGAAATCAACGAACCATCTCAGTGTCGATCCTTGAGGCTCCCCGAAAACTTGAGGGTGACCAAGGTATATAAAAATTCACATACCTTTATGATTCATGGATTTCTATATGCCATTAGGCTACCTTATCACCTTTCGCTGTGATTATTGCAGATATCGAGGTTGATCTTTACAAATTCGGGTAATGCTATTTTGGCATTGGCATCGAATGCTATTCACTTGCTGTGGAAGTGGCAGCGAAGTGATCGTAACTCGAATGGCAAGGTACAATCTACTCATCATTTGGGAACTTTTTCGATAATAAAAGAATACCTTTAAACGACATGTTCCACAATACGAAATATCATATTTGTTTCATCATTGTGTAGGCAACTGCGAGCGTATCCCCTCAGCTGTGGCAACCATCAAGTGGGATTCTCATGACCAATGATGTCGCTGATACGAATCCGGAAGAGGCTGTACCGTGTTTTGCTTTGTCGAAAAATGATTCTTATGTAATGTCAGCATCAGGAGGAAAGATTTCCTTGTTTAATATGATGACGTTTAAGGTAACTCATCAATGACGGAATAACTATGCTTCTTCGATTTTTATGTCCGTCTGTCTCCCCTCCATTGTCGATGATTTGTGTATATAAGCTTTAAGCATTGATGATTTTTGTGGATGCCTTGCAGACAATGGCAACTTTCATGCCACCGCCACCAGCGGCAACTTCGCTTGCATTCCACCCTCAGGACAATAATATTATAGCTATAGGCATGGACGATTCGACAATTCAGATATATAATGTCCGTGTGGATGAGGTATGATACATTATGCTGAGAATCATACATGTCACTCGTATTTCGAAGACGTAGCACTCTTATTTACAAGTTTAATCTTCCAGGTGAAGAGTAAACTTAAAGGCCACTCCAAACGGATAACTGGCCTCGCCTTTTCGCATGTACTGAATGTGCTCGTCTCATCCGGAGCCGATTCTCAGGTATTTCTTTTTCTACGTTTCTTTTTCCGTACATGGTACGGCGAGTAAGCTTCATCCTAGATTTAATCCACTCCATAGTGACTCGGTCATTGTCCAATGGTGCAAATAGCTTGGGAAATATTTTAGTAAATTATCCGATGATAAGAAAACAAAGAATTTGTTGCTGCTTCTGGAGTTCTTCGCTAATCAACCATTCGATCTCGAAAGATAAAAGCATTCTCATCGACAAAAACAAATTTGCTTTCGGTTCATTAATCTACCGTTCTTTCTCTAGCTTTGCGTATGGAACACTGATGGATGGGAAAAGCAGAAGAGTAGATTCTTGCAGGTTCCAGCAGGGAGGACACCAACAGCGCTGTCGGACACGCGTGTACAGTTCCATCAAGACCAGATACATTTTCTTGTCGTGCACGAGACTCAGCTTGCCATATTCGAAACAACGAAGCTAGACTGCGTGAAGCAGGTAAATGTTTTCGTCTTGTTTGATTTATTACAAGAAAACATCAGCATGTGATGTTCTACTCCTAATGTTAATTTTATCTTGTTTAGTGGGCACCACGTGATACTTCTGCTCCGATAACGCACGCGACGTTCTCTTGCGATAGCCAGCTAGTATACGCCAGCTTTTCGGACGCATCAGTTTGTGTGTTTAATGTTGCAAACCTCAGGTTGCGATGCCGTAAATCCTACTGCATATCTTCCGGCCAGTGTCAGGTATTTCCCCAGATCTTATCGACTTGGGTATCGATTTCGTACGGCTAAGATCTTGTCATGTATTTGCACATTATAGTTTTAACCGTTTGAATTAAATCACGATCTTTCCCTCTATGTTGCAGCTCCAACGTTCACCGCTTGTAATCGCCGCACATCCGTCTGAGGCGAATGAATTCGCATTGGGACTCTCGGATGGTGGGGTTCATGTATTTGAGCCCCTCGAATCCGAAAACAAATGGGGTGTGCCTCCACCGGTCGAAAACGGCTCAGCCAGCAGTATGGCGGCAACAACTTCGGTTGGAGCACCAGGATCAGAACAAGCCCAGAGATGATAAAATGGCCTAACAGAGCACAGTTTCTTTTATTTGCTTGGTTTGGATGCCCCTCCCTAATTTAGGTATGCTTGTTACAACATCAAGATAAACCCCCTTCCGTTTGCTCGACCGACCGGAACGCGGCAGTGTTCGATCGGATTTTATTTAACCAATCTTTTATTTTTCCTTCTAAAATTTGCAGCTTGACAATCAAAGATATGTGAACTCTCAGAACAAACATGGGAAGATGTAGATTTTAACGTATTTTGTTATATATACAATATCTAAGGTAAATGGACCAAAGTTACCTTGCTTCAACAAGTCAAAATATGAAAGATCTAGCATTTTCATGGAGTATATGCGAGATTGTTCGTGAATATAAAACGAAATCGAGATCGATAAACTCCAGAAATTCTCGAAATTTATGATTAAAAACACCAAAATCATCCAACAAGATGTAGAATTTTGTCTCTACACAGTAGGCAACTTTCCAGACAAAAACACAGCAAATTTGTTGATATCAGAGTACTTAAAGTCGATCCCATTTTCCTTCAAGAGTTCTTCGATCAATTTCTTATCACGTTCAGGCTCTTTACTCTCGCATTCAATCTCATAACTAACCCCAAAATCATAAACAGACTCATCGAGCTCCAATTTCAGCCCCTTCCATTCGTAAACCCCTCTAACATTCTTAAACCCTCCCAAGCAAATCAACTCATTAACCCCAAAGTCACCTCTCACCCTTTGCATTATCAGGGAATCGTTTCTCAACTCCAGCAGGCCGCTCGGTTCGGTTACAAAGGAGCGGGCGAGTGATGGGTCGATGGGTTCTTCCAGTTCTTCGACTTGGCTAATGCCCCGGGAGAGCTTGGGCTTGGATTTGAGGGAGAGGACGGAACGGGAGTCGAGGTTGTAGAAGCGGAGGCGGAGGGCGGAGTTGGCGGCGGCGAGGGCGGAGGTTGGGGTGTCGAAGAAGACGTTTTCTTGGATGAGAGTCTCGGCGAGGAACGGGGAGAGCAGATCGGAGAGCCTCTGGTGGGATTCGGGGTCTGGGAGACGGAGTTTCACTTCGACTTCCATTTGGGGTTCGAAATCGAACGAGGAATTGGGGGAAATGCGTGATCTTTTAAGTATTTGGAGTTTAGGGATTGTTTTAATCCACGTTGGGAACAAATATTTCAACATTGTTTAAGGAATCGAATCGTTAGTCTCAACCTCATGATTAGTGGATAAGATGTCAACGTGGGATGAGTATGAGAATCAAACCTGATCAGTTTCGATCCGATTCTTTATTGAGTCAAATTTTATTTAAAAAAATTGGTTCGAGTTACATTAAGTTTTTTAGAGTATATGTTCGGATTGAATTTGAGTTTAGGATGAAAAATATCTAACTCGACCTGATCGAAAAATTAATTTATTATATCTTATGTATTTAGAGATAATTACAATAATCATCCTATATTATTATTTTAATAAGATCTTTATTTTTTATAAATATTTGTTTCAGGTCAAGTTCGAGTTTAATCTAAAAAAACGGATCGAGTTCGGGTGGATGAAATCATCCTAAAGTAGGGTTAAATTTCAGGTAGATGGTGTATATTTTTGGGTCTTATTGACTGAAAATTAGACCTAATCCGACCTATACCTATCTTTAGAATATAAGGCAAGACATATAGAGGGTAAATTTACATGAATAATACCATTATTTTTAGGGTAAATTACACATTTAATATTTAAACTATCAATTTTAGTTTGTTTCAGATCTAAACTTTCATTTGTTTTCAAAATTAAACATAAAATTTTGAACAAGGGTACTAAAACTAAACAAAAACTAAAATTTTTAACGGCAAAATACTAAAATAAAACAAAAATTAAACTTTATGTATGATTTTAAAAATTTTGAACGTTTAGGTACTATAACGGATCAAAACTGATAATTTAAGTACTAAACGTGTAATTTACCCTTATTTTTATCATTCAAGAAAATAGCACCTAAAATTAGGACTGTAAATGAGAAGATAGATCGAGAGTTACTCGAAATCGATTTGGTCAAGTTTCGATAAATACTCGACTCGAGTTCTTAATGAGCAGAACGAGCTACTTAATACTCGACTTGAAAAGCTCATAAGCAGCTCAAAAATATAATATATTATGATTTTAATTTTTTAAAATAAATTATTAATAATATTAACATTTATGTGTTGATTTTTTTTAAATACAATAAGGTTTTCATGTGTTTATGGTTCATGTTCGAGTTTTAGGCTTCAATCGAGTTAAGTCTTAGAATTTTTTTCATTCCGAGCATTTTTGAGCTTTTACGAATTTCAGTTCATGATTTCGAGTTCGAGTCGAGCTTGAAAATTTTAAACTCGTAAGCTCTATTTTAGAGTTTTCGAGTCGAGTCGAACTCAGCAATACTCAAGATCAACTCGGCTCGGCTCGTTTAGATCCCTACCTATAACAAATTATTTAAGAAAATGATGTACATTTCCTGACGTAGGATGCCACATAAGATAAAATCGTGTTCTATCAACTGTGTTTTTGAAAGAGCACACTTTTGTTCTTCATGAGATAGTTTTCTTACATTTTAAGAATCAAATTGTAAAAAGTGAAAGTAAAAGGATTAAAATATAATTTCCTTTTTATTAAAACAAAAATCTGTAAACAAAGAAGCAATTTACAAAAGATTATTTAGCTACATTACATTACAAGCTGATCTGCAGATAAAAAACATAGGAACTAAAACCAGCTTCCTAATAGCAAGATTAATATGTTCATATAACTGAAGCACATATTGATTGATGACGATTGTATAGCCCTGCATTCACTCCATTCGTAAACGGCTTCCTGTTTCGCCTTAGATCCGTTACGATCGTAAATCCTTCTCCGTCCCGCGATTTGTTTTTGTTTACGCCCGATGTTCTTGGTTGTTCACAGCTGCTGGATTGAGTTTCCATTATGGCATCCAAAGAAGTTTCCGAATTTTCGAGCTTGTTGTTGGTTACTGCAGGGTCACTTGTTGGTACGAACTCGGGTGCATGGGGGTTCATAACTCTCGGAGGTCGAAATTCTGTTCGTTTCGAGTTTGGAGTTCGGTATGTGATGGTGTAAGGATGATTGTTTTTGTGATATAACGGCGACCGGGGACCGCAACGAACTCGAACTGCAACGGGAGGTTCGACGGGCTCAGCAAGCATGGCTTGACTGGCTGTTACATCATAAACACTTGTGAAAGCAAGTGGTTTTATTTGGTGGTTCATGTAGAGTGATCCTGGATTGAATGGTTCCGCTAATGCTGATAGTTTACTCCCCCTCGGAACTTCGGTTTCATGATTGCCATGATCTGCAAAGTTATCAACAACAGAGATATTGTTCCCGTCCTCGATGTTTGTAGGCTCGAAGGAAAGCTTATCGAGTTCGATTGCAGCTTCTTCCGATCGATTTTCACCATCACGAGTTCCTTCAGTTCCTTCATCTTCATTATCTGCAACATTTGCAGCCTCAGAAGTAACCTTATCAAGTTCAGAAGCAGTTGTTTCTGATCGATTTTCGCTAACACGAGTTCCTTCGGTTTCATCATCATCATCCGCAACATTATCAACAACAGAGATATTGGTGCACATCTTCTGTTCAGTGTCACTCTCATTTTGTGCTTCTACCTTCTCCTGCAATGGCCTTAGAACTGTACCTGGAGGTGCTACAGCTACTTCTTTGTAAGAAAGCGATTTCGAGTCTATGACAACTGAAGGGGGGAAGCCTTTGGAAACCGATGCTCGTAAACTAACTGAATTCGCACCAGGGCTCGAGTTACGGGACATGGATTGCTTCACAGGAAGCACCTCCTTTACAATGTTCTTAGAGGCAGTTTTTCTCACAGGTGAAATACTTTCTGGCCTGAAGCTGCACTCTCTAACGTTTGCATATCCATTCACCTTTAGATTTGCAAGTGCGGTTCTCCTCCTTCTGGACTTCCTTCCGACGGCATTTCCCGACCGGCCTTTCAAATTGGCTTCTTTCCACCCTTCATCGGAAGTTGTCTCTTCGACGAATTCACTTGTTACTATCGGCTCAGTTCGAGTAACATCATTAGTTTCCTCTTGTTCTTCGAGACGATTAGAAGCTACCATTCCTATTTCATTAACATCTGCAGTATCTGTTACTAAATTGTGATGCGGATCATGAGTTTTATCACTCATAGGAATCACCTGCCAAGTTTTCAGAAAATGTCACCATTATATGTGAAATCAAGATTGATTTTCAAGAGTTGTGACAACATGGCCAGAAACATCCTGTACCTTGGCACGCAGCGGCTTCCTCTGTACATCGGTTCCTTTAGAATCGTGATCGTGACTAATATAATCGAGGAGATCCGACACACTGCAACAAATGGTCACAGGTTTTGTTGCTGCAAGAAATTATATAAATGAATAGCTAGTAATCAAGGGACACCGAATCTGTACCTAAGATGACCTTTGCTTGCAATGGATGCATCTGGCTTTCGAGTTCCATTTCGTGCCGCTTCTTGTTGTTCTAAAGCCTTTGATTCAAAGTATTCAATCCATGTAATGGAGTCCTGCAATTTAACAAGGTTAATCCGCAGATAATGGTTGCTGCTGATCTCGATAAACCCCGTGTTAACAGAGGTATTTACCTGTGTACGAAGGTCATCTTGTCCGAGTTTTGCTCGAAGTATATTGTATGTAGTTTGCTCATGTTGCACGCATAAAGAATATGCGTCCATCAATGAAAGAGCAATAGCAATGGCATGATAGCTTGCAGCCGTCTTTCGAGGGAGGAAACCGAATAAAACAATCAGGCGATGAGAAATTTGGGCATAGATGAACATATGCATACAGTTGGAGAGAAAGAGACAGACCTGTATGTGATCTCCTCCGAGTAGTCTCTGGTTGCATTTAAGAGCTTCATGTAGATATCTGAGAGCGACATGAACATTTCCCATCCCTTCTTCGATCATAGCCATGTTTATATAAGTCGCAGCGGTGTTCGGGTGAAAGAATCCACAAGTAAAATGAAGAAGGAATAAAGAGCGGTTTACATATCTGCGAAAATGGAAAAAATGAAGAATAACACAAGCTCGTAAGTGTATGGTATTCGAGTATATAGAGTGAACCATCATCGAACAAGAAACGGACTCGAGATGAAAATCCGAAGCATCAGTTTTACAAGTACAAGATTACCTAAGAGGTATAGAATGAGAGCACAGATATTTGGCAGATTGAATGCAATGCTAGACCACAATAACCTCGGACTCACCTCGAAGCCATTTCAAAATGTTGAAGCTGATAATAATATACAGCAAGATCCCCGTAGCTTTTCGCCGTATCCGGATGATCAAGGCCGAGCTCCCTCTCATTAATATCCAAAGCTTTCTGTTGATATATAGTTGCCTAAACAAGAAGAAATAACTTAGTTTCGATCTAATCATAAGCAGTTTAAGTTGAATTTCATTCACCTGACTGCAATAATTGCAGAATGTTAGGGTACCTGACTGAAATCACCAGTATGGTAGAGAACCACAGCGAGAAGACTGTAGGCACTCGCAGTAGTTCGATGGTAGGGACCGCATACGGCTATCATCTTTGCCAATGCCTTCAAAAGCAAGTAACACATAATATGAGAGCTATTGGGAAATCCTATAAAGCAAGTAAAACTTATCTAATTTATTGTAGGACTCGACTGAGTCGGTATCATAGTTGAAGACGATATATGAATGCGGATGTGGATTATAAGATACATGGCGAATACCTTTGTCCCGTAATTAACTGCATCTTCTAGTTGTCCTTTGTCAAGAGCCCTCTTGGATGATTCTAACAGCGTTCTGCCATCTGCAGAAGAGCATTCTACATGCTGCAACACAAGCATCGTTATGTTAACTCCATAACAAGCTGGATCAATTGGATAATAACGATTTTAGAACGAAAAAAATATCGCAACAGAGATGTCCACCTTACAAACAGGAAACATGCTAATAACATCACAACTTCTGAAGGGTTCTTTGCATTCCATGTCATAATCTCTAGGAACCAACTCTAGCCCAATCTGGTGAAAGAAAACACCAGTGAAACCCAGTATCTGATGCACTTAGCAGCCGAAGCAGTCGACAACAGATCGTACCTTATGGCAAAGTTCCCGAAGAACGGATAGTTTTCGCAACCGCTGGAATTCATCTCCCAGTTTCCAACCAAATTTTGCATAAAGAAACTTTCTTAACCACCTCAGTTTTAGGGAATAGTCATCGTTTTCATTTCGAGCATCATCTTCCACTCCATTATTTCCAAGTAAAAAATTTAGGGATGAAGCTATAGCCATAGGCAAGTCCTCAAATTTGTCGACAGATGCAATGACGGCTTTGACGACATGCTTGAAAGCTCGAGTAACCATCTCATGGATGCAGAGTGATTGTATATGAGGCAGCTTCTTGGCAAGTTCAACCTGGTTTATACAACAGAATCAGAGCCAACAAACAAGAAACAGTATTTGATAGCTCAATATATCTAACTTAGGTAGCAATGCCTCACCACATGACCCAAAGAACGCATCTGTAGTCCCCTTAAGTGCATAAAGTCGGTTAGTGTACAACCATCAACCGGTGAGAGCTCGAGCGATCCAAAGTCTTTTACCTGATAAGTTATTTGGTTCATGAACTCTGCATAAAACTTTGAAAAAATGTTTTGAAAGAAAATGGCTTGGGAATTTGAATTGTACCAGCTTTGGTAAAGCAATGTCGTCATAATATTCGTATGCCATCTTCATGAGCTCATTGAGTGACTGTTACAGAAAGCACAACAAATCAATGCCAAGCTTTAAGCAAAAACTAACAAGTAAATATAGGAGAAATGAAAGAGTGACCCGGAAACCTTTACGTGAAGACCGGTTCCGCTTTCTTCGAGACGGGAGAAGGCTTCTTCTGAAATCAGGTTCTTCAATTCCACGTCATTGTTGGACTCACCAATGCTTTGATGTCCTTGATTAAAATTCACATTCATACTGCATGGCTCAGAATCATTTTCTTCCTTGTCAACTTTGCTATTGATGTTACCCCTTTTCTTTAAACATTTAAATTGCTTTCCAAGACCTTTGACAGCCGGTTCAGCCTCACGATCATGACCGGGTCCATTCGACGTCGTTTCTGTTGAACTTTCCAGCTTTTGTAGATATTGCACCCAACAAGAACCCAGTTCCAGTCTAATCGACCTTTCGCGAGCGACCAGGATCTCCTCTAGTTTGGTCAGGCTCTCTTTAACTACTTGCTGAACAAGGCATCCAGAAGCTTCGGAAACAGTCAAGTTGACTTGCTGTGTTTGTCCTCCACTCGTTTCTTTAGTGCCCGACTTGTGAAGTAGAACCCTTAAGCTGAAATAAGTTCAACACCCCATCGTTACATAGAGAACGATATATCGATTTCAGGTAAAACGTAGCTAGTCATCGGAATGAGAGCATGTATGTAATATATGCACGAAAGAGGAACAAGAGCATGCGCTAATGACCCAGACCTGTTAATATTAAGGGCATTGGCTCCTCCATCTGGAAGATCATCAATTTCGATATACTCAGCACCATGCATTTCCTTCACATCTCCAACGACTTTCACAACCACAATGTATCCGCAATGTCTAACAATGGCAGTGCCCAATGAGGAAGAATCCTGTAAGACGGTTACGGTTTAGTGAAAACAACGATTTAAATTCGAAAAAGGCTTTTTAACTGAAACTTCTACCCTTATGCCTAAGTAGAGGAGATTTTGACTTACATGAAAAGCTACACTCTCATCTGCAGTGATCCCTTCAAGTAAGTTCTTTTTAGCAGTTTCAATAGCAGTCATGCCAGATGAAAGATGGCCAAAAACCTTTACATAAGGCTTGAGACTCGCATCTGTCGGTTCTCGTCTTACCGTAATCGACAAGTCACCTATGCGGTCCTCATGAAGGACCGAGCCAGGATGGCTATTCACAGTACCATTGGCAATTAACCAGGAATTCATTACATGTTGAATTGCAGCAACGGCTTTGAAAATCGAGACATCGATAAACCGGTTATGGAGCAAAAAAGCCTTGCGATCTCGGACCATCCTCTCCTCTTCGGTTTTGCAAGGAAGACTAGCCAGCACTGCAAAATATGTAGCCCAAGGCCAAAGATCATACTCACCACTTCTTCCTTGGCCTCCACCATTACCACCCCATCGTTCGTCTTCCAACGGGAAAGAGAGGAAGCTCGACGGAAACTCAGCAACAGGGGGAGGAACAAGCCACGTATTTAACCGAAATCCAAATGGAAGATTACCGAACTGGATCGAAAAAAAAAGTGTAGCAACGTCATGATCGGTAAGGTCAAACTACCCCATATGCAAATAACGAAAACATCACCTTGTTTCGTTCTAAGAAAGCCTTCATAAGGGAATCATATGCCTGCAACAAGCACAACAGAGATGAAATCGAAATCGAACCGATAAGCTAATTAACGAAACGAATGAATTATAAATGAGAGTACTCACATTGGCAAAGGCTTGGCTTAAATTTTGCAGAAGATCTAACAAAGAGTGAGCCTGGAAATAATGCTTTCCTACAGTACAGAACCCTTTTTCTGATGCAACCACCTGCATCATCTTTCCATTGCAGATTCTTATCTGCACACACATTACATGTAAAAACATCGAATTAGCAAAACCGACGCCGTATCGGAATGAAAAGCCGGTTAATATACAAGAAAAACTACAATGTTAAGTATCATCATTCAACTGGCTTGGTAAACCATTAGAGTGCAATACAACCACATCATAGTGACAATGGCAAGTTGACAACATGAAGTAAAGCATATGTAAATAACCATTAGGAGGGTTTATTAACATGTAGAGAGTGAGATTTTACCTGCATTACAAAATGGTCACCTTCATGCCTCTCTTCTTCATCCTCACACCTCCTCACATCTGCAAAACCTATACTTGGTAAATAACAATTTAACTAAAAAAACTTTAACATTAGGTCTTGAATTCAATTTGGACAACTACTCCCCTTTTTTCGAGTAAAAAATTAAGACTTTAATAGCAATAACTACAGTTTTAGTACCCAACTATCACTTTCATTCTATTTTGGTCATCTAACTATTTTTTTTAATTATACCTATTCTTACATTTTGATTCCATTTTTGTCATCCTCCGTTAAAAAAAATAAGAGATTTGCTAATATAGTATTTTTCATATTTTTTCAATGATGACATGATATTACCTTATGGTGATATGTCAATATCATTGTCAATTTTTTTAATTGTGATGAGCAAAATAAAACCAAAATTAAAAGTCAGTCATGATTTTGAAAAAAAATAATAGATAGACTTAAGGGTCACTTTTACCCTACAATAGACTCAATTTATTATTTTAGTCCCTATGATATTTTCGCATAAATTTAATCATCAAAATTGTTCAATTGCATCAATGTTTAAAATATTTATTATCGTTTAGTGCTTTAAGTTAAAGTTTAGGGATTATGGGCTAGGATTTAGGATTTACGGATTAAGGTATAAGATGATGCAATTAAACAACTTTGATTGTTAATTGATACGAAAATATCACAAGGACTAAAATAATAAATTAAATCTACTATACGGGTAAAAATGACCCTTAAGTCACAGTAGATAAGTGACCAAAACAAATCAGAAATGATATTTCGGGTGCTAAACATGTTATTTACCTTAAAAATAGGGGATGTGGCACTTACTGAGAATAGGGGATGAGAGGTGAAAGAATGAAAAGAAATCATAAAATTCTGATAATTTGGGGGTTGGATGAATGGTAGCCATTTCCATGCTCTCCGTAATCGACGCCGTCGCTGATGCTGACCCTTCTCCTCCATCGGACGGCGCAGGAGCAGCGTTGACCTTTCTGGATTTTGAAACAGACGGCCCTGATGACGATGATGATTGTGATCGGATTCGTTTGGGCTTCGAGAACCTGGTGGTGCACACTACGATGTCTAGGAGTCTCCGCACGTGAGCCACCGCCTGAGCTTCGTCGGCGTAGTCCTCTGCATTAAGTGGCAGGAACGTAATTTTAGGACAACCTTTTGGGCAATGTGATAAAACTATTAAGTTAATTTTACTCGTGCAAAACGTTCCGTTTTAAAACTTTTTTTTAATTCAAGTTTTAATTTTATGAATTATCAATATTAGTACATAAATTATCCCTAATTATATGATATTATTTTATTAAATTCATCGACTATTAAAAGTCAAAAAATAATCATTCAACTATAAAGTGTTATTTTTTTAAACAACTATTAAAAGTTATAACATAATCATTTGACTATTCATTATGCTTCAAATTTATCATTTTTCATTAAAAAATAAACGATATTATAAGCTGAACGTTATCATGCCGAATGTGATATGATAAAATATGATCACAAAATCTCAAATAATTATCATATTTCAGTCATCATGTTAACGTCCAACTTAGACAACCATCAATTTCTTTGACAAAAAAAAAGATGAATTTAGAACATAATGAATAGCCAGATGATCATTTTGTAACTTTTAATACTCATGAACTCAATAAATAAATATTCTATAATCGAATAATTATTTTAAATTTTTTAATAATTAAAAAATTTAATAAAATAATATCATATAATAAAGATACAATTTTTATACTTTACCCTTATTAATACTAGTGGTATCTATTTTTCTAAATGATAAAATACAATTATTTTTTATTATAAAATAGGGTATCTTTCACAGGTCGTTGTAATGTAAGAAAAACGACAAGTTAGATATTTATGACTGAAGCTTCGTCAGTCTTCTGCATGTGATCCTATTGCCCTATTTAGCCATATAATATTACATTTTATTACACATTACAAATATGTTAGGAGTTTTAAGAGAAGCAAAATTCGATTTTAAAAATCAATTTTTTGACTTGATTCGAATTAAATTCAAGTTATAAATTCATAAATTCGACTCAAAAAAATTTCAAGTTCAAATCGAGTTATAAAATAAAACTCGAATAACTTAAATAGTAACTCGAATAACTCAAATTTTTTAATAATTAGTAGATTAATTTATATGTCAGAATCTAGTCCATCGATTTTGTATGATACATATTTATTACATATGAAAAAATATGAAAAAATATACATGTATTGCATATGTTTATAACAAAAATCATTTAATTTATAATCAAATAATATCATAATATTATAAATATTTACAATTAAATTTAAACAAAAACTCAAAAACTCGTCTCGATTCGAAAAAATTACAAATCAACTTTGAGTTGTAAAATAAGATTCGTCAACTCAAATAACTCGAAAGTTTTTTACTCGATTCGACTCGGTTAAACGCTCACCCAAGGAAAATATTTCTTTTGATTTTTCTAGTGTGGATGTTAATAATTTATTTGAATAAAAAATAAAAAAATCAGTAACCAACTGAATTAACAGAATAACTCGATATTTAAAATCGATTAAATCAAATTAAATCGATAATATTTGATTCGATTCGATCGGTTAAATCGTAACCGGATAAGAAATTAACCTACCTTGAACCATTGTGAGCAAACATGGTTTCAAAGTAACCACTTCTACTTTGTCATGCAATCTCTTCCCTTTGACCTAACAATTTTATTTAAAATAAATAATTAAAGAACATTTTATATGTAAAAAAGGGGGAAAATTAGAAGGAAAAAGAATACCTCATGAGTTAAAGAATAGTTTGTGAGATGACAAGTCTCAACATGAGAAGCCAGCAGCCTTCTTACATCAACTATTTTATCAGTTGAGATACCCTTCAAAAAATAAAATAAAAATAAAATCACATTTATTAATCGTTAATTAGTATATATTTCAAACGATTAATTATTAATTTAAGGATAAATTACGTGTATAATATTTAAACTATTAATTTTAATCTATTTTAGTACCTAAACTTTTAATTTTTTCAAAATCATACATAAATTTTAGTTTTTATTTCATTTTAGTACAACTGTTTAAAAGTTAACATTAAATTTATTTATTTATTTAAAGTTTAGATACTAAAATAGATAAAAAAATAATAATACATGTACTAAATGTGTTAAAATTTTCACAATAAGTACTAAAATGAAACAAAAAATAAATATTATGTATGATTTTGAAAAAAATTAAAGTTTATGTATTAAAATAGACCAAAATTATTAATTTAAGTACTGAATACATATTTTGCCCTTAATTTAAATAGGGTAAACTATATTTTTAACCATCTAATTATTTTTTTCATAATATCACTAACATTATATTTTAATTTTATTTTGATAATTCGTTGACGTGACATTTTTGCTGTGATGAAATGACATTACCGACATATCAATATTACCTTTAATTTTTTAGGGTAGGTCAAGATCAAAAAGTGATGTTTAGTGATGATTTTGAAAATAAAATAACTATATGACTAAAATAAAACTAAAGTGATAATTGGATGACTGAACACATAGTTTACCCATTTAACTATTAATGAAAATGGTAATCGAATCATGCAAAGCACCTTGAGCACAACTTGTGATTCATAGGGTGTAACGACAGTGATGTCAAGAACACTGGGAATAACTGCAAAATAATAATAAATAAATAAAATAAAATAAAATAATAATTTTCATTAAAGGGTAGGGGGAGCTTTCTTCTACCTTTATCCTCTTTCTTCTTATGCTTCTTCTCTGGTTTTGCTTTGTTTGATTTGCCTTTGCCCGACTTTGGGGCCATTTGCAGCAACACTGAGAAGCTTCACTGAAGTTTGCAGATGAAAACCTTGTTTGTAATTTTCCCGGAAAATCCAAAAGCAAATGTGCTTTTTTTTAATGATTCTCTCGGAAAATAATGATTGGAAACAGGCGAAAGTGAGAAGAAAAGGGAAGAGAAAATTATTGAAGAGCTGAGGAATGATGAAATCTTTTGAAAATGTTAAGGAGATACTATATAAGGTTATATATATATATATATAGTTTAGACTTCTTTGATTTTAAAGGACTAATCATGAGTTTCATCCTTTCATTTTATGAAAATTGAAAAGTTACTCCTCTAATCATCGAATTTTATGAAATTGAAAAAATTAGTCTATTTATTAAAAAATATATATGGATTTGAACCGTTGATTTTATTACTAGAAATTATTAAATTATTGATTTCGAGATTAACAATTTAACATCAAAGTTTTAAAAAGGTTATTCAATTGGATTAATAGATAGCATGTGGAGTAATGTAAACAAATTAAAATAGTAGGACTAATTTTTCAATTTTAATAAAGTATACCGATAAAATTTTATAACTCGAATTTTAAAATGATAAAATATTAAAAAATTGATGTTAATATTTTTATAATTAAATTTAAATATTATTACTTTTTATTATTTAATTTGAATTTAAATATAATAAAATCAAATTCAAATATAATAAAATCAAATTCAAATTTAAAAAAGCTCTTACCCAAGACCTAACTCATTAGTATATGATTGACCGATGATTAATCTATATCGAATATTGTAGAGATTCATTTTAAGATAATTTTTTCAAATTTATTTTATTATTTATAATATCAAATTTTAAATTTGCAATCTTACTTAAAAGATCTAATATTTTATCTTATTATATCGATTAATATTTAACTTGTATATTTTAGGATAAACTACGTATTTAGTACCTAAACTATCGGTTTTGATCTATTTTAGTACGTAAACTCTCAATTTTTTAAAATCATATCTAACATTTAGTTTTTGTTTCATTTTAGTACCTCCACCATTGAAAACTTAACGCATTTAATACCTAAACTATGAATTTTGGACCGTTTTATTACCTAAACTTCCATTTTTTTTCAAAAATTAATGTTAAATTTTGAACACGAGTACTAAAATAAAACAAAAACTTTAGGTATAATTTTGAAAATATTAAAATTTTATATACTAAAACTGATAAGATATTAAACACGTAATTTACCCTATATTATATTACTACTTATTTTATTATGAGACCCCATTGGCATTAAGATTTGGTAGGTAAGATATTTTTTTTAATACTACAGAATCTCGGGACATAGATATTATAAAAATAAAATAATGGAGTAAAAAAGAATGTGAAACCAATACAATAATCGTAACAGAAAAAAGGACGGTCACGAAAGCGCCACGTGGAAGCTTGTTATTGGGTTTGCATCTTTTCATTTTCATCAGAATTTGTAGTCTGGTTTCGTGCGTCCACTTGGCTCCGACAGTTGGAGGAAGATGCCTGATTTAGCCATGCAATTATTATTATTTATTTATAAATAATAATAAAATAATTTTAGAAAAAAATAGTACACATGAGAGATATTAGGGTTAAAATTGAATCGAAATTGAACGAATAAATTTAGTTTTGATTCGAATCGAGTGTACATTAAAATTTTGTCTATATTTATCAGTGTTAGCTCGAGGAATATATCGAAATCGAACTGCTCATCGAATATTTTTTTATTTACAACTCTATCAAATATTCAATTACACTAATATAAATTTAATTTATTAAAAAATTGATATGCATGATTGATGTGAACAAAATATGATACAGGGGAGTTAGATTTTTAAAACATTAATAATATAAAAAATAATTTATAAAAAATATCCAAAACTAATTTAATTTCCCTATAATGTAATATTACAAAATTATTTTTATATGATAATAAATATTTTTATAATGATTTTTTATCTTTATGTAGTGTTTAAATAAAATATCTCAAAATTACTACATAAAATACAAATAACATATTGATAAAGTTGTATACAAACCATCACGGAACTTGGTGATAGAGCTTGGGGTGAACTTAAAATTTAAAAAAAACTTAGAGTTTTAAATTAAAATTTTTAAAAATTTTGAAGGGTTCAATTTATAGTTTTAAAAAATTAGGGTATAACTAAAACTTATTATATTTTGAGAGGCTTAATGAGAATTTTTAAAAATTATGAGATGTATTTGATTAGGATTATTCAAAAAAATTAAAAATTAATATGAATTTCAAATAATTTTTCGGGGACCAAATTAAATATTTTACAAATTTTAGATATCTAAACTATAATTTTTCAATTTTTTTGGGGATGCATGCCCCCACTAGTCTCATTATCTTTTGCCACCACTATATACAAATCATTAGTTAAATAAATTTTAACAAAATATTTTAGATAATTTACACTACAAGTCTCTAAGTTATGCTCAAATAATCTTTTTTATCATTGAACTTTCGGGAGTTATATATAAAATAATCATTAAATGTATTAAATTATTATAAAATATCATTGTGACATTATAAAATGATTATTAAATTATCAAACTATTGCAAAATAATCATTATTTTTATCAAATTGTTACAAATGATTATTAAATTTCGTTGAATTTACCAAACTCTGATTATAAAAACATCATGATGATCACTTTGTAATAATTCAATAAATTTAATAATTATTTTATATCTTTTAAAAGTTTGGTGATTAAAAAGATCATTTTAGCATAATCTAGGGACCTTTATGTACTTCATCCAAAGCTTTTTACACAAAGACAAAATCTGGTATTTATTTATTATTTTTAATTGTCTAAGAACGATGTCAGTCTTGACCTTGATAAAGTGGTTAGGTACCATTTTCGGCACTATTTTAATTGATAATTAGTGCTTCATTTAATTTTTTTAATTAATTAATTGTATCTGATTTATTGATCGATTAATCTAAATCGACACTATAGAGGCGAGGGCTACCCTCCCAATCTAATTTGCTCAATTCGTAAACATCAAGATTTGAACTCTTAACCTTACTTAAGGTACTTAATGCCTTGTTTCTTTAATCGTGGAATTAAATTTGTCCTTATATTATAATATAATTTCGATATTTCCAATATTTCTTTAATTTTGAACGATGGAGAATATTACCTAAAATATGTTGTTAATCGAAATGACAAAAGTAGCCTGGCCTTTTATTTTCACGTCTAATCTATTGACAAATCAAGAAAATCATTTTTCAAAATATATATTTGGATTAATACAAAAATAGCATCTTAAACTTTGTTTCGAAAAATATTTTAGTGTTTAAATTTTTTTTCGTTAAAAATAGGTGCATAACGTTTTCTTTGTTACCATTTTAGGTGCCCAAACGGCCTACCATGATCTAAGGGATTTTTATGGATTTGAAACCCTAAAACAAAAATTTTCATTTACACCATTTTTGGATGTTCGATTAGTTGTGAAAGTATGAAGCTTTTGGTTTGTGGGTGGTTTGTCGGTCATACTTCGTTGGGTGTTCGGTCGATTGACAGCGTTGGTGGCGACGGGCGATGGCAAAGGGATTAAAATTAAAGTTTTAAAAGTTTGGGTTTTTTTAAATAAAAAAATATTTTTTATTTTAAATAAATTTTTCAAAATTACCAGAACGTGACACGTGTCACTTAACGGTCTAATTTAATAACGGTTGACATTTGTACACTTAAAAGTATAACGTTAGACACCTATTTTTAACAAAAAAAAATTATTTAAGTACTAAAACATTTTTCGTGATAATTTAATTAATTATTTGTGTATTAAGCCTATATATATCTCATAATTGTAAGTTAGGTGCATCTGTCATGTATGAATACGTGCATTCCCTTTAAGAAAGCCTTTATTTTTTAAGGAAAATATTAAAATAAGTTAATTACATCATATACTCAAATTAACGATTTCAAATAAGAAGAATACGTCATTTAACCGTTGAAATAAATTCATAAATATCATATAATTATATTCATAATTACTCTATAATACTCGTCGTCACACTGGAGGTGTTTGGTAAACAATTTTTTTGAATTTTTTTTAGTTTATTTGAGCATAAATAATTTATTTGTAGTCAAATTCTCTATTTTTAGTGTCTGGTAAACACACTTTTGAAAGAGATTATTGTGCAAAATAAGTTGAAAATGAAAACGTTTAAAATTCCAACGGTTCGGGAGAGCTTATTGCAAAATAAGATGTTAAATGACATATTTGACATTATTATTTCAATAATTACATCATTGCCATAAAACCTAATCTAATGAAATACATTCCATCCTAATATATTTTAGTGAAATTTTATTTTATTATTCTATTTTTTAATTGTAGATTCTCAAATATATTTTAGTTAAGAAAATATAACAAAACATAAAAGTAGAAAAACGTAGTGTTGATATTTTATAAAGGTTAATAGTATGTATCAATCTCACAAGGTTAATATTTATAAATATTAAATTTTAAAAAATATATTCAAAATTTTATTCTAATAAAGACTAAAGTATCATAAAACATATATGTGCTTAACAACTAAATATAAATGCCTTTATTTGTCATTTTACCCATTTAAACTATCACCTTTACTATCTCAATTTGATATATTCATAATTATTTTATTACGGTTAAGATAAGCTTTTTTTGAATTTAAATCTCACTTGATTATTTTTTAGAAAAATTAAATATTAAACTAAACATATAATTAATTAGATAAAAAATTAAATATGAAATTAACTATTAAAAATAAGGGTAAAGTACACAATGGTCCTTCGACTATAATATATTATTTTATTAAGTCATTTGACTAATAAAAGTTATAAATTGGCCATCCAACTATAAATTGTTGCTTTGTTAAGCTCCTCAACTATTAAAAGTTACAAAATGATCATCCGACTATTATTATGTTCCAAACTAATCCATTCCTTAAAAAAAATTTGGTGGCTATCTAAGCTGGATGTTGACATGTATGATAGTCGTTTGAGATTATGTGATCAGATTTTATCCTATTACAATCAACAAGTTAATGTTCAACTCATAATATCATTATATTTTCAACGAAAAAATGATGAGTTTGGAACATAATAAATAGTGAGGTGATCATTCGGCAAC